GTTCAAATTCGGAGAAGGAAACAGTTCCATCCCGGTTTGTGTCAGCCTTCTCAAAGAGGTCCTCCACCGTCTCGGCCGAAAGGTCCAGGTTAAACGTCTGAAACCCCTGCTTGAAGTCTCCCAGACCCAAAGTGCGGCTTCCTTTCGAATCCAACTCGGCGAATAAAACACGATGCTTCTCTTCTTGTGACGCTTCAGCATTTATTTTGGGAACCAGCGCGCCGGATGTGCTTGTGTGAAGTGATGCGCGACGGAACGATTGGGACTCACTGCGTTGGCTAACTGGTGTACGGTTGCCTGTGTAGGCTGCAATCGTCCCGGCCTGAGGCACACCGCCGTTGGAGTTTCCACGCCCGACTGCCGAGGCTGAGTGAGTTCCAGGGTGACGCTGCGCGGATGTTGGTGGCTTTACTGCGGCTGGAATTTCCTTCTGGCTTTCCTTATGCCACTGGTTTTCTGGCTGAAATGCGTACAACTGGCAGTAGTCCATCAGCTGCCCCTCCGACGTCAAATCCACCCACTTGTTTCGCTCCTCGTCATATATCTTAATCTTGGCGACATGAAAGTTGTGTGGTGGAACGTTGTCTGGACGACGAAGTGCAATTTCATTTGAGAATGACGCTTCCGTGGCACGTGACACCTCCAGCAACGTTGGTCTGTGTGGGAAATTAAGTTCAAAGTTCACTTTACTGTTAAAAATATCAGCGGCTACATTAATGACCAACATTGGCCTTCCTTCTCTATGATGCTTCCCCCTTCCCTGCTTCAAGCGTTCCGTCTCCAGATCCCTTTGGGGGTGTCTTGTCTCGTTCTTTCCCTTCTCTTCCTCTCTCTCTCTCTCTCCCTTTTTCTTTTTTGTTCCCTTTTCGTTACTATTTTTTTTTTTTTTTTTTTAATGTGCGTGTAGATGCGCTGCGTCAATAAAACAAAACAAAAGGAAGTGAAGGTGAAGTTCTGCGACTCCAAATCCGGCGAGCGAGTGAGCGGACAGAAAGAATGAAGGGTTAGAGTTAGTGTCACACAGTCAGTTTTGTGGATGAAATAATCATTGAAAATAAAACAATAAAATATAAATAATAATAATAATAATAATAGTTTGGGTGGGAAAGAAAGCATTAATCCTCACATCGGTTGTCTCTCTCTCTCTGTGTGTGTCCACTGGGAAGATTTGGGCACATTTGCATGACGTCTCCTACAATATGCCATCGTATTGACTTTTATATACGTGTATAAATGTGTGTATGTGCACACTGAGGGAGAAAAAGGGGGAGAGGAGGTGAATTGCGGTGTGGCGTGTTGCTGTCGGGACATTTTGCAGAATTGCCAAATGAGGCGGACCTCGACAACGGCAACGGCAACGGCAGGAACAACACAAAAACAAAAAACAAAACCGAAAAAAAGGTCGTTTGGATAATATACGCCACTCACTCACTCAATCCTCCTCCTCTTCCTCTTCTTTTTCCTTACGTCAGTGTCATTTCTTTTTTTTTTTTTTTTTGTTTCAAAGGAGGAAAAGCTAAAATAATAATAATAACAATAATAAAACGACAACAAAGAGGGGGAGAAGACATTAAAGACTAGTGGCGTACCCACCCCCTTCTCTCCCATTCTCAGTCTGTAGATAGATAGATTCCACCACCCACTCCATTATTATTTAACCCCCCTTCTCCTTCGCTCAAGTAATTAACCGCACAACGCACAGCATACATACATGTACATACATGGAGTGCAGTGCAATACAGTGAGAGGGAGAGAGAGAGACATGCATGCATGCACACACAGACACACTCCGGAACCAAAACAACAAAACAAAAACGACAACAACAAAGACGGACGGGCAAAAAAAAAAAAAAAAGACAAAAAGGAAAAGAAGAAGAAGAAGAAGAAGCATCATAGCACTCTTTTTATGCTTTGAGAATAAATTAAACCGTGGCGTTTCAGTCTACGTGTAAGTATTAAGGTAATGCATGCATACGAGCACAGTTAGCGTAAAATGGGAAGCATAAATAAAAATAATCGCCCAACACACGCACACAAACAAAAACAAAAACAAAAAACAAAAAAGATTCGTTCAGCATTTACTGTGTGGCATATAAATATAAATAAATAAATATATGTATGTATGCGTACACATTGGCCAGCGC